TTTGTATTTGGGATGTAGGGAATGCATTTTCATAGATTTTCCAGAAATCAGAAATATAAAAAACTTCAGGGGAGACAACTGAATTCTCTACTTTATAAGAGAAAATGTTAACCATTTTGCACAAATGATAAATTTGGACATGTATATTCCCACACATGAAAACAGAAAAGGACACAAATAACTGGGGCCTCATTCAAGAATGAAGAGAAGCTGGTCTTGAGAGTGAGCTGTCTGATACAGTTATAAATCACCTGAAAGTCACAGAGGCTTAGAGTCAGTTCAAAAAAATGTTACAATAGACCATTTGCCACACACATTTGACTCCAGCGATCCAGGCTGAAAACCGGTTTCTGCTGTGACACCTCTGACCACCAGGGGGAAGCACACCCGCCAACAATGGGCTTCCTCTTTACAAACAAAAATATTTTTCCTATTTCAAAATAGGATGAAACTGATTTCATTTTAGGAACAAATATAGCCTAGCCCCTCCTTTCAGAAAGCCAAGGCTTTATTATTCGTATTTTTAAATTGAAGTAGTAGCGGACCAGACATACCCAGGGTCATAGACCAAATAAGCAGTAAGCAGATTTTTGAAAAAATCAGCCCTTTGCCTCATATTATATTATATACAACCACTAAACCAGAGTTTTTAGATAATTGCCCTTTTACTCCGCCACTTAAATAGACTTCAAAACTAGATACAGTGTGTAGGCAAATATTAGGGCTTTAACAATATTTTTAAAAGTAAAATCAATGGCATTAAACTTAAAATCTGATGATGTGACTATATGCCGAAATTATTTCAAAACATCACTTCTTTCTTTAAAATAATCAAGCGTGTCGCATTTCTTAGTTTTCCTGTTATCTGAAAAATTACAGGGGATGTCATATCTGCACTCCAGTAAGACCGAAGTCCACGGTCGTCTGAAGTCCACCAACTGCGTGGTAGACAGTAGAATGGTGGTGAAGATCACAGATTTTGGATGCAATTCCATTTTACCTCCCAAGAAAGGTCTGTAATGAATGAGATGTTTACTAGTTTCCCATTTAGTTGTTTGGGTTTTAAAACGTTTTCTCTCAGTCCCATGCAGACTGATCAGGAAATGGTGATATTGATCAGAAAATAAATACTTGAAGTCAGGAGAGGCCACAGCACTCAGGCTTGTCTGTGAACCAGTGCTTCTCAATTAAACAATGTCCCCTGTGGATTTCCGTTGTCTGTGTGTCCCTTGATATCACTGAGAAATCATGAAGAACTTACTGGTTTGTGGAAGCGAAACTGAGTAAAAAAAATTTAGAAGAGCAGGAAGAGATCTGACTTAGACGTTATCTGGTCTAACCCTTTATATTAATAGAAGACAGAATTGAGAGTCAGAGAGGCTAAAAGATTTGCCCATGAAAATAAGCTACAAAGCAGAAGACTCATTTCCTATTCTACGCATCAGTCATTTATCTGTAATAATAAACGATAAAGAAAAAATTCTTATCAGTAAAATATATTCCTACTTATCTCTTACAAGATTGTGGTGAGGGTCAAAAAAGAGGTAACATAAAGAAAAGTGATCTGTAGCCGGGCGCGGTGGCTCACGCCTGTAATCCTAGCACTCTGGGAGGCCGAGGCGGGCGGATCGTTTGAGCT